CAGTCCATTCACATTTTAATAATCAATTTCCGTGTCCACTTTTCTTTTCTACACACTTGCCATGTTTTTGCTGTCACATCATATCTTCACTGGACATTGAAAATCATTTGAAAGTTGTGTCAGTACCTTATAAATAGAACGAGTCAGCAGTTTACTGTCGGGGATTTATCGTCTTGCGCCGCATCCAAGACAGCATCACCGATTTTAAGGAGTTCTAGGCTATTGTATTTCATTGCGTCGCGCCGCTCGCGTCCGGTGTAGACACGATGTAAGTTAAAGTAGCTTTCTGATGCTGCGTTTGAATTTTCATGCCACATTATTTGAAATTAGCGTGGGCCAACCTTTTTTCTCTCACGGCCCAGATGTGGCCCCCGGGCCGCCTATCAAGGAACCCTGACGTAGGCGTAGTGTAAGCTCCGGTGAGAAGTGAAGAGCAATGAAGCGCAGAGGAGAGAGCAAAACAAAACACCAAAAGGAGACTGCTTTTCTAAAACTTGGTTCTCATGAGACTAGCAAAAGCACTGATTTTCATTGACTTCAGAAGGCCTTTATTAACCCCCCAGAGCCACGTGAAGCACTTTTTATGATGGATGGATGCACTTTATTGGACTTCAAAATCTCAACACCCATTCACTGCCATTATAAAGCTTGGAAGAGCCAGGACATTTTTTAATGTAATTCTGACTGTATTCATCTGAAAGAAGAAAGTCATATACAGCTATGATGGCTTGAGGGTGAGTAAATCATGGGGTCATTTTCATTTTTGAGTGAACTACACCTTTAATGCCAGACATGAGATAAAGGAAGAATACACATTTGTAGGGATGCAACGATTAACCGCGAGCCGGTTGAAAATCGATTTAAATATGTGACGATTAAAATCGGTTGAGATGCTAAACAAATCGCGATCGGGGTAGGAGTATGAATGTATGTGAGGGGAACTTACTGTCTTTAGAAAAGTTTAGATGGTATTTTTTATTTTCATCTTGCCTCTATATAATGCGCATTACAGTAAAGTACATAAGTTCAGTGCTGCTTTGTTTACAGTGGAAACCAAGTAAACGCTTTAAGCGCCACCTGCTGGCAGAGAGTGAATCTGCGTCTCATTCAGCTCGTCTGCTGTTTCATGCAGATATTTTTATGTATAGTTTCACAAAACTGACGTCAAACCATTCTGTTTTTGCTTCAAATTTCGAAATTATACAATTTAATTTAGATTAAAAACTGCTCATGTTGCATGTATGCAGCATCTTTGTTTGGATCAGGATTAAAATGCAGTGTTAGCCTCTAATTTTAAATGGAAAGAGCACAGACAAAGCCTTAGTTTGTTTATATGAAGAGATTTATTTATTTGTGTTATTTATTTGATTTGGGGCTTGTTTTAAAATTTCAATTTAGTTTTGTTATTTACATTTACATAAAATTGTTATTTACCAGACAATTTTATCCAAAGCGACTTACAAATGAGGACAATAGAAGCAATCAAAACCAACGAAAGAGCAGTAATATGCAAGTGCTGTATTAGTATATTATTATAGTGTTATATTTCAATTTCACTGCTCTACTAATTTATTTCAGTGTATGATGCTGTACATCTCCTTCCCAGCATTAGCACACTTTGTTAGTATTCGATTTTAGTTAGACTTTAATAAAGGCATCATATAATGGATTGTTCTTGCTTTTTTTTTAGTCCACGCAGAACATTTGACACTAAAGCACAAAAACAACGTTCAGAAATCATCATGATTGATATCACAAAACATTCACATTTACAGCCTCTCAGAGAGGGTGGAAAATGGTAATGAAAAACAACAATGTAAATTAAGGTATCATCAGGAAGCAACCATACTGTAACTTTCAGAACTTAGTCCGAAAAGAACATTCATTAGGCATGTTTGCATGCACTCATTTATTCAATCCAAAAAGTCTTGATTTCAGTTTCTGAAAGCTCTGTTTATAGTTATTCATTTAACTGTGTATTACATCTATTCTGAACAGAATCTCAGTGCTAGCTGCTAGGGATGTAACGATTACCCGCGAGCCGGTTGAAAATCGATTCAAATATGTGACGATTCAAATCGGTTGAGATGCTAAACAAATCGCGATCGGGGTAGGAGTATGAATGTATGTGAGGGGAACTTACTGTCTTTAGAAAAGTTTAGATGGTATTTTTTATTTTCATCTTGCCTCTATATAATGCGCATTACAGTAAAGTACATAAGTTCAGTGCTGCTTTGTTTACAGTGGAAACCAAGTAAACGCTTTAAGCGCCACCTGCTGGCAGAGAGTGAATCTGCGTCTCATTCAGCTCGTCTGCTGTTTCATGCAGATATTTTTATGTATAGTTTCACAAAACTGACGTCAAACCATTCTGTTTTTGCTTCAAATTTCGAAATTATACAATTTAATTTAGATTAAAAACTGCTCATGTTGCATGTATGCAGCATCTTTGTTTGGATCAGGATTAAAATGCAGTGTTAGCCTCTAATTTTAAATGGAAAGAGCACAGACAAAGCCTTAGTTTGTTTATATGAAGAGATTTATTTATTTGTGTTATTTATTTGATTTGGGGCTTGTTTTAAAATTTCAATTTAGTTTTGTTATTTACATTTACATAAAATTGTTATTTACCAGACAATTTTATCCAAAGCGACTTACAAATGAGGACAATACAAGCAATCAAAACCAACAAAAGAGCAATGACATGCAAGTGCTATATTAGTATATTATTATAGTGTTATATTTCAATTTCACCAAGAAATGTGCAGCATTTTGTCCAAGCAATAATAAAAGGACAAATTTTATTTATAATTTGTCCTAAATCTAATTGTTTAAAAAACGTGAATCGAATCGTGAAATCAAAACCGTGAATCGAATCGTGACTTGAGTGAATCGTTACATCCCTACACATTTGAGATAAAAGTCTAACATGAATAATTAGATATGTACATTTGAAATCTAAAATTAGAATTACTATTCTAATTTCTTTGCGAAAGAGGTGGTAATAATAACAAATAAAAATTTACAGGTTTAGGTTTTTTCCTTTGATAACAGTGACATATCTCCTTCATGATGCTTAATTATATGTGATCTTGCCTGATTCCACTGAACAAACATCTTTCCACATTTATTGCACCCAAATGGTTTTTCACCAGTGTGAATTCTTAAATGTTCTGCGAGATGCCAGCTCTTAAGGAACCTTCTGCCACAAAATATACACGGGTAGTTTCGATCACCTTGGTGCAAAAGCATGTGGTTTTGCATGCTCTTTTGACGTCTGAATGGCCGGTCACATATCTTGCAATGAAAAGGAAATTTTCCAGGGCCCTGAGCAGGGATACTTAATCTAGTAGATTGCTGCGAGTTTGCATTCAAATGTACACTGTCCGGCTGCAGAGTTATTTCCACGTGGGAGCGCCATGAGTTCACTGGTTCTTCGGTCCGATTCTTTGATCGTCTTTCTGTAGGGATAGCAATGTGCACAAATGTGACCCTGGACCACAAAACCAGTCATAAGGGTCAATTTTTTTAAACTGAGATTTATACATCATCATAAATAAGCTTTCCCTTGATGTATAGTTTGTTAAGATAGGACAATATATATTAAACTATTTGAAAATCTGGAATTTGAGGGTGCAAAAAAAATCTAAATATTGAGAAAATCACCTATAAAGTTGTCCAAATTAAGTTCTTAGCAATGCATATCACTAATCAAAAATTATGTTTTGATATATTTACGGTAGGAAATGTACAAAATATCTTCATGGAACATGATCTTTACTTAATATCCTAAAGATTTTTGGCATAAAAGAAAAATCGATCATTTTGACCCATACAATGTATTGTTGGCTATTTCTACAAATATACCCGTGCTACTTATGACTGGTTTTGTGGTCCAGGGTCACAAATGTGATTAGATTAACGATTAAAAACACAATGTTGATATGGGTTACTCCATAAGGCAATATAACTGCAATATCTGGACTAAAGCCCCAAATTAAGATACCATTTTTTTCACTTTATAAATATCTCATTGACTCAAATATTGAGATTATTTTTCTTTTACACCAAAAGCAATCACATTGCTTCATGAAACTACTAGAGTCACATGGATTACTAACTTTTTGGAGCATGAAAGTTTCAAATGGATCAGGTTTTATGGATAAATAAATGATTAGTGTGGTAATTACCTGTGTGGAGTCTTTCGTGGTCTTTCAAGTGGAGCTTCGATTTAAAACGACTCCCACATGAGCCACAGCAGAAACGCGCCATGTTCTTGTGCACCAGCATGTGTCTCTGCAAACTTCCTTTGGTGCTGAAAGACTTGCTACAAATTTGGCATACTGATGTGTTGTGGTGATTTTTATTTGCCTTTTGTACCACCTCATGAGAAGTTTCGATGTAAAGTTGCGGAGATGGAGGGTCTTGTTCGAGTGCTGGAATTTCAACGTTACAGTCGCTTCCAGACTGCACTGCAGATGAGTTTGATTCACCAGTCTGATTATCACACTGCTCTGACTTAACTGTGATGGATGACTGCAGATCTGCATTCTTCAACATCACATTCGGCACAAATAAGAGGGACTGATCAGGTTCCTGCCATTTAAAATCTTCAGAAAGGTGCAAAGTAGTGGTAGAAGCTTCATGAGTCAAAGGCTCATGGGACATCACAGTGGCAACCTCCATCTTTACTTGTATATCTGAGAGCTCTGAACCCACTGGACCTTGCAGAACTCCATCTTGCTGAGTATCTGTTTGACATGAAGCACAAAATTAGTTACACACACAATGCTATTCACAATCTATTTTACTTTGGTAAAGGCTGGAATACATTACACAACTTTTTCAGACATATTTTCCCCCCGATTTGCAATCTGGGGCAGATCTACAGAAAACTGTAAAGTGTATAATTCAATGCATAGTTTATATATATATATATATATACACATTACCTTTTTTTGCACATAGCACTGGTGCTACAGACGTTGAAAGTTTTGTAGCACAGGCCAAACAGTTGTAGCACAAATTAGGGGTGGGCGATATGGCAAAAATATCATATCACCATTTTATTCAGGAATATCACGAATCACGATTCTTTGTCATGTTGGTTTTACTATTTTGTAAATTGCCTGAGCAGTACAGCCAATCTAATTTCCCTCATACACATTATAGATAAGGCCATGCCTATGACATCTATTGTGTTATTAAAAACAGCAACCTAAACTACAACGTAACATTAAGGCCTACATAGGCTACTGGTATATATGATTTTATAATTGTATGCTATAGTAGACCTACCTTATCACCCTGTGTCAACAAATGTACAGGCTAATGAGCAGCAATAAACTACATTTGAGCATTTTAGAATGCCTAGTCATATGTCTGGTGAAAGTAACTCAAAAGTAGTGTAACGCATTACAATTCAGAGACAGTAATATTGTAATGTAACTAATTACATTCAAAAGACAGTAACTAGTAATATATAATGTATTACATTATGGAAGTTACTTGCCCAACACTGACTGTAATATGTATTGTTGCATGAATAATAAACAACTGATAAAATTATCCACCCCTAACCTATAGTAAAGTATTAACAAATTTTGATGCAATAAATAGCATATGGTATAATTTAAGTGTTCATCCCTTACAAACAGAAAACATCTTTCACAAACATCTACATCTCTGTCTCTGAAGTGTTTAGTGTATATAATGAGTTGAATTTGTAGGGGTTATTATAGCTTAACCCCACCCCAGGCCTCGCTAATTTTCAAACCCTGGCTACGGCCATGTATGTGTGTATTGTAAATAATTCAAATATGTGCTCAAAAATGTTCTATTAAATTTGTTTAATTAATCAAACGTGTCATCGAACCTTGGGAGGCTTGGAGGGAAGTGTGTGTGGGGGGGGTTCTACCTCCCTGAAATGAGTTTTTGGAGGGTGGAATGTCTGCATAACTAACTGTGTTTATATGTAAACCCTGTGTGCTTTTGACAGTATTAGACGCAAAATCAATCAGATGCGAAAGACAACTTATAAGTTGAGTTAAGTCTTAAACTTAAGTCTAGTAATCAGGCACTGTTTGAAAGTGTGCGTGCGCTTCATATGTTCAGAACAGCACACAGCACGTGAATTAAATGTTTAACCAGAAAGGCTTTAAAGCTGATGCAAATAATGTACTTTTGTGATTGCGCATAAGTGCTGTGTCCCGTAAGTGTAACTCTGCTGCTGAGATAACATGTGATGTGAATGTTTGTCGCATTGTACAGAATATTGATACGGCGGCACCAGAACTGCAGCTGATAGAATGTGTGCTGTAGCACGATATTAGGATATTTCTTCAAAAGCAGATCGTGGAGACATTTTAATCGCCCACCCTAAACCAAGTATAATCAATGTCACACACACAAACAAGCACAACGAAATCACTTCACACTATTAAGCGGCTGTGTTATGAACATTCAAAACTGTATCGCACGTGTGCTACAGTGATACAGTGGGTACGGAAAGTATTCAGACCCCCTTAAATTTTTCACTCTTTGTTATATTGCAGCCATTTGCTAAAATCATTTAAGTTAATTTTTTTTCCTCAATGTACACACAGCACCCCATATTGACAGAAAAACACAGAATTGTTGACATTTTTGCAAATTTATTAAAAAAGAAAAACTGAAATATCACATGGTCCTAAGTATTCAGACCCTTTGCTCAGTATTTAGTAGAAGCACCCTTTTGATCTAATACAGCTATGAGTCTTTTTGGGAAAGATGCAACAAGTTTTTCACACCTGGATTTGGGGATCCTCTGCCATTCCTCCTTGCAGATCCTCTCCAGTTCTGTCAGGTTTGATGGTAAACGTTGGTAGACAGCCATTTTTAGGTCTCTCCAGAGATGCTCAATTGGGTTTAGAAAATTCATAGAAATTCAGAAACCAATGAGAAAGAAAGTAATTGAGATCTATCAGTCTGGATAAGGTTATAAAGCCATTTCTAAAGCTTTGGGACTCCAGCGAACCACCGTGAGAGCCATTATTCACAAATGGCAAAAACATGGAACAGCAAATGGCTGCAATATAACAGAGTGAAAAATTGAAGGGGGTCTGAATAATTTCCGTACCCACTGTATATTTATTCATCGCACAAACCAGTTTTTTCATAGCATATATGTCGCACTGTACAGCCCTGATATATACTATATATATATATATATATATATATAGGGATGTCAATGATTAATCGACGATCGATTAATTGTCGATAAACCTTTTAATAGCTAAACCTTATCGATGGTCAATTAAGCATGGTCATCGTTAATGTGCATAGTTTGAGACACACGCGGCTAGCTGGTTTGCCAACTGCCAAAAACGCTTAAGACGACAACACACGGGGCTTACGCCAAAAGTACAGCAAAGTACAGTACGTAAAGTACAGCAGCTGTGAGGGAAAAATGAAGCGAGCATGCAAGAGTTTTGTTTGGGATCATTTTATCCTCGGAGAATGTGGCAAGGCATCCGATTAATCTCGAATTATAAAAAGAAGAATGACATACAACATATTACATCCAATTATAATGCTTACCTTGGAGTGGAACTTAACAGCTTCTTAGCACAGTTTGAAAAGGACAATAATCAATCCCCAGTTCATTTCAAATCAACGGGAAATTCACAGCCCCTTGTTTTACATACACATGAGGTACGGAGGGCACTTAGTAACATCAACATAAGGAAAGCAGCTGGCCCTGATGGTGTGCAAGGACGTGTGCTACAGGCCTGCGCCGACCAATTGGCAGAGGTGTTTACAAATATTTTTAACCTCTCCCTCTCCTCGTGTATAGTTCCCACGTGCCTGAAATCCACGACCATCGTGCCTGTCCCAAAAAAAACCATGATAACATGTCTTAATGACTATCGACCGATTAGAAATAATTGCGATAAGCAATATTATTGTCATTTTAAAGACCATTTTATGCCACTGAATATATAATCATAATGTAACGGCATAATAATGCAAGAAGGCCTACACACTTTCAAATGACAACAAATGTTTAAATTTTAAGAATATTTAGATCATGGAAATTAAGTATCAAAATATAAGATACCTTAAAAAACCTGAATAAATAGTAAATAAACATTTTCTAACAAAAAGTGCAAAGTAACAAGTACAAAAAAATAACTTGTATGGAGATTTTTCCATCTACAGATTTTTCCCTGACCTTCTTTTCTCTGTAAATTAAAGGTGCACACTATTGCTGAAAAACACAATCCCTACTTAGCAGTCAGATGTCCGTATGCACAATGGCACAGATCCCTAAACAAGACCATATCTGCAGATGAAACTTTTTTAGATGAAGCACTTTTTAAATTTGAACGAGCACCTCATGACTACACCATGTTATGTACGAGAAGCTGCAAAAGACACAGGCGGAAGTGGAATGAACAAAACATGGTGACATTAATTTTTAAGTAAATATAATGGCCGATATATTACGTCACCAAAAATGATTGAGGTCCTGTACAGTGATGTGAAAAAGTGTTGGCCCCCTTCATGCTTTCTTATTTTTTTGCATGTTTGTCACACTTTAATGTTTCAGATCATCAAACAAATTTAAATATTAGTCAAAGATAACACAAGTAAACACAACATGCAGTTTTTAAATGAAGGTTTTTATTATTAAGGGAAAACAAAATCCAAAACTACATGGCCCTGTGTGAAGAAGTGTTTGCCCCCCTGTTAAAACTGTGGTTTATCACACCTGAGTTCAATTTCTCTAGCCACACCCAGGCCTGATTACTGCCACACCTGTTCGGTTGCGCAGGCGTCGAGGAAGTCTTTTTTTATTTATTTTTTTGGATTAGTTTTTTTTTTTTTTTGGATTAGGATTTTTTTTTTGGAAAGTTTCTCATTATGATGACTTAGTTTCTCATTATTATGACTTAGTTTCTCGAAATAATGACTTAGTTTCTCGTAATAAGAAATCAGGAAGGGGGCCAACACTTTTTCACACCACCGTATATATATTGCGCGATAAGTCGATATATTGATTATTCCGACAGGCCTAGAAAAGACCAACACATATATCAGGATGCTCTTTGTTGATTACAGCTCGGCATTTAACACCATTGTACCAAGCCAGCTGACTACCAAACTTCATGCTCTAGGATTAACATCCTCCACATGCAACTGGTTATTGGACTTTCTTACCAACCGCCCTCAGTCAGTGCGGTTGGATAATTATACATCCTCTACCCTAACTTTGAGCACTGGTGTACCACAAGGCTGTGTACTAAGTCCCCTCCTTTATGCACTTTTTACCCATGACTGCCAAGCTACACATGATTCTAATATGCTGGTGAAATCTGCAGACGACACACCTGTCATTGGGCTCATAACAAACAACAATGAAGTTGCATATAGAGAGGAGATTCAGAACCTGACAGCGTAGTGTGATACAAACAACCTGGTCTTAAACATCAGAAAGACCAAATAAATTATTGTGGACTTTAGAACCACTAAAAAGATCACCCACAGCCCTGTAATGATCAAGGATGAGGTCGTGGAGAGGGTACACAGCTACAAGTTCCTGGGAGTTACCATCACAGAGGATTTTTCCTGGAGGGATAACATCGCATGTATAGTAGGCAAAGCACAACAACATCTCTACTTTCTGAGGAAGTTAAGGAGAGCAAATCTTTCTCAGAAGCTGATGGTCAACTTTTACAGATGCACTATAGAGAGCATATTGACCAATTGTATGACAGCCTGGTATGGTAGCTGTACCAAAGCTGCCCAAAAAGCCCTGCAGCAGGTTGCAAAAACAGCACAGGACATTGTTGGTACGAACCTACCATCACTTGATCATCTTTATAAAACCCGCTGTCTGAGAAAGGCGAATAATATCATTAAGGACATCACTCACCCTAACCATAGTTTGTTTCAGCTCTTCCCATCTGGAAGGCGATTCCAATCCATCCTGGTACGCACAAACAGACTTAAAAACAGCTTTTTTCCAAAAGCATGAGCTCTGGTATCTCTCTGCCTGATTGTGTAAAAGAACATATGACGGCAATGTGTGACTTACTGCTCAATAAGAAGTTCAATAATGTTGCTATTATAACAGTGTTGGCCACTTTGTATAAACACTGTATCTGGAATTTTGCCATACTCTTGTGTAATTTTAAATGTTTTACGATAATTTCATCATCTTCTTTTATAATTATTATTGTATCGCTATGATAACTATCCAGTTATTTACAATTAACAATTTTATCTTGTATTTTATAACTAATATGTTTTTTTGCATATGTATTGTTAACCATTTGTATTTTTATTTTAAATACACCTTGGGGTTGCCACAAGAGAAATTTCAATGAACGGGGTATCAACGACTCGGAAAGCGAGGTGAACAACTTTCTTAGAGAACAGCCTCCTTCGTTTGACACAAGTCCACTAGATTGGTGGAAAGCGAATGCCACCAGGTTTCCCAGATTGTCTCGGCTGGCAAAGGGCTATTTATGCATACCAGGAACATTCGTCCTATCAGAACGCATGTTCTCAGCAGCTGGCCTGACGGTCAACAAACTTTGCACAAGACAAAAGGGCTTTTCACACTGCACGTGAAAATCGGCACGATGATGCGTTTGAATCAAAACAATAGATCCCTAATGGGGCTATTCACACTAGGTGCGATCATTCGCGGCACGAAAAAGCGAAGATTTTTTTTTTCGTCCTGTGTGTCGATTTTTTTCCCCGTCGCTCCGCGATGAAACAGGCCGTCCAATCAGATTTGAGCTTAGATCACGTGCCCGGAGCAGCTGCTGTTGCACAAAAGGGTGAGAATGGTGGCGCTGTTTCGAAAACCATTGTAAACAAAAACCGAAGAAGAGTATAGCTAGTATAGTAGAGAGAAGAAAGTGGATGCTGAGTTCTTGTTATCGTTGGTATTTGAGGTGTGAAAGCTACGTTTGTCGGCGATTCGCCTCACTTTTTCTCATCGTGCTCGGTGTGATATTTGTACACTATCAGTGTGATATTTGTATGCTATTTGTACCTCTAATTATATTTTCAGATGTATTCTTGTAAGCATTATGGATAGTTTGTGTTTCTAATGAAGACCCAAAAGTTATTTATCTTAATTTAATGCTGTTTATCGAGCAGCGAACAATGCAAAAGCCATATACGAGATACATAGGCTACATGAGGAAAAAATCCATTGTTGGTCTGCACCACCTAGCGTGCAGGGGTGAATTAGCAGAAGGCGCTCAATCGTTTTGAGCTCGGTGTGAAAGCTACGTTTGTCGGCAAATCGCCTAAATTTTTCGCATTGCGCTCAGTGTGAAATGGCCTTAACTCCGGAACATGTTAACATGCTAATCTTTTTGAACAAAAACCAGTGGTGTGCACCTCAGGTATGCTGTGCTGTATCCTTCGTGTGCACACAAAGTTTGTATCATAATTGCGTTAAAGTAAACATTCATATTAATGCTGTACATATCATAAAATAGCTAATATAATTCAAATGTGTTCTTTATACTTAAAGGGTTCATAGGATGCCCATTTTCCACAAGTTGATATGATTCTTTAGGGTCTTAATGAAAAGTATGTAACAAATTTCTCAATGCTAGTGTAAAAAACAAATTTTTTACTCTGTCAAAAACAGCTCTTTTCAGAGCATGCAGATTTGTAGCATTTTCCTTTAAATGTTAATGAGCTCTGCTAACCCCGCCCCTCTCTTCTGAGCCGCTCTCAGAGAGACTGCTTACTTTAGCTGCATTCATCGTGAAACTTGCTAATTAGCACATTATTAGGAAAGGCAAAGATTCGTTAAAAAAACCTTACACTCACTTCTTCTGTAGGTGAAGCTGGATCACTAATGATTCGCGCGAACATAGACGCAAGGCCCATATGCAAAAAAATGTGTATACGCTCTTTAATTTGTAGTGAGAATTCACCTCAGTTCAAGCTGCATATGAATGAATTATATTTTCTTCTTTAATATTTGCAGCACGAAATAAACATGAATATCTGAATGCATGTTGAAAAAAATCAGAACAACTTAATACAAACGAATGTCTCATGAATCGATCAATCAGAGTTTTTAAAAA